ATCTATTTTGACATAAATCCCACTTTGAAGCATCATTCCTTATAAGTTTATTTTCATTTTTAAACTGTGCCACAATTTTTCTATAGGATTTAGTTAAGGCGAATATGTAGGTAAAAATTTGTGAAAAACACAACACCAAAGTTTTCATCACTATTTTACTTTTATGATTCCTACAATTATCTAAAATTAAGATAAAATTATCTTCATTAAAATGACCTCTAAGTTTTTTTATTAATTATATTAAATGATATAGACCTTAAAATTAATGTTACAAAGAACTATTTGATATGCTAAGAAGTTATTTGTTCCAATTACCAACATTTGGAATGATTGTTAACTTGATTAAACCATGATTCTTCTAAAAACACAAACTTCATTTTTTTAATGCTCATGCTTAAATAATATAATGAGGAATTAAAACGTGAATCTAAGTGAGAATTCCCAACAATTTTTAGATCTTTTTTCAAAGGTAATTTATAGCTTGCTTTAACAAATCTTTTTAAAATTCTTTAGAAACTAGTTATACTTAGAGCATATTTGCTCAATTTAAACTTTTGTAAAAAATTAGAATATAGCAAATTTATTGAATAGAGTTCCTCTATTTGAATCATTTTTAATTATTTTTTTATCCAATTTTAGTGTGATTTCAATTTAGAAAAAAAAAATTTTCGTCATTCTACTATGATTGTGAAATGTAGTATATCTATTATTATGAAAGATTAATCTTGAAGCTATAATTTTAGCTGCATATTTATTATCTAAATGTTATTTAATAATTAGTCTGATATTTTAGAACAATTTTGCATTCATTAACTTTTTATGTATTATAGTGTTTACCACTCTAAATTTTCTTTTCTATTATCTACTTTACCATTTTTATCTCTACAAACGCTTTAATTCCTATTTACAATCCTCTAGAGGAAGAAAATTTTATTCATCAGTTTTTTTTAATAGCTATCTTTGATTTATATGCTAAAATATTTGAAATTGAGAGCAAAAATAATTGCACAATTTATAACTTAAAGTGAGATCTTAAATTAAAATTTTTTTCCCTTATTATTGTTGATTTATCGAATAATGTTCATCCATTTATATGTTAACAAAGTTCTTTTTATCAAAATTCTTTAAAAAAAATACTCTTAATAAAGAATTTACACGTATTCAACATAAACTCAATAATGCATATAAAAAGAAATATATTTCTAAGCCTTGAAAAATATTTTTAAAATCTAAAATATGATGTTTTTTATGAAATAAATTTCCTTAATGTTGCAATACGTATTAAGAGGGATTTAAATTCATAATATTTGCAATAAATTTTAATTTATTTTTCAAAATCAAAATTCATATTTTTGTTTCTAAAGAAAAAAAGAAATGGTATGTATATATTCGGTTTGATGTTTATTCCCTAAAAATATTATTAGAGATCACTCAAGCCTAATATTAGTTTTATATTATTTTAGAATTCAAACAGAGTCTTATTAGAAGAAGTAAATAATGTTGTTGGCTCATTAGAATCCATGTACAATGCCTTGATAATCAAATGATATTATTTACCTGATATTAATTCTGCTGCAATTTGCTGCTAGTACTTATTGGATTTAGCTTTGGGGAGATGTTTTAGATTGGAGGTTGAAAAAGTAAAAATAGGACAGCTGTTAAAAAAATGTTCTAAAGTATAATTGTTTATGGAAATTCTAAAAATAACAGATGCTTAGCACATTAAACTAGAATTTGATCTAAAAAAACTTCCAGATAAAAGATGGTTAAAAAATGTGCTCTTCACTCTAGATCCAGTTCATAAAGCTTTTTAAGTTTTAGAAGAATAGGAAAATATTGTTTAAATAACTAGAGATGAATTGGAGTAATTGTTGATGTAATATAGTTTGTTAAAAACACTCAATACGTCTCTTGGTAGAAAGAAGTATATGAA